AAAAATCATTCCCTCCTCAGCTTTTGCCAGTTCAAAGTAGGCAAAATTTACAGTGGTGATGAATGAAAGGCTTTTACTGGGACATCCAACCCTTATGAATATATCTGCATTTTCCAACTAGGTTTCAATTACTTTTATGTAGATTGAAATCCTATGTATTCCTAAATCTCATTTGTTGTGCCTCTTACCCACTGTGCTTTTAGTTTGGTTTTTATCATTTCATTGAAATAGATAATGGAGCATGGAAAACTTATTTATTTTGAATAAAAATAAATTTTGGGAGACTCACATTAAGGACATGGTAAAAATAAAAAGATTGTTACATAAAGTCATTTGAATAGGGGCTAATTTGAAGTTTGCCACTGAAATTTTTAAATTCTTTGGTAGTAAATTAATAATACTCTAGCAGCACTCTGAAACAGCAGCACTAATAATAAAAACTGTGTTAGCACCTTCAGATTTTATGTAAATAGAGCTAGATACATAAAACTAATTAAAAATGATTTCAAATATTTTCATTTATTGAAGTAGACACTAAAAAAGATCTGACTCCAACACCCTAGACTAGCCAAGAAGGACAGGAATCCCAAAAGAAGCCTTATATAAAACTGTGATTCAATATTTACTTTTTTATGGTTATTAATTTTACTCTTTACTTTCCATTGACCTCAATCATGTTTTAGTGACAAAGTTTTATCTTCAAATATTTACCAACCAATCTCTGATTCTGATACCTGAACAACAAATATTCTAGTTTAGTAACAAAATGCCATTGAAAAGTACTCTGTAGTTCAAATAATGCATTTATTTGTGTTGCTGTCAGTCCTTTAGTAAATACCAGTGATTTTTTGCTTTTACTTTAACGACATAAAATAACTTAATGACCCAGCTTTAATTTTAAAAGTTAATAATCAAAGAAACCTTTATTTTGTTTGTAGTGTTTTGACTTAGAAAAGAACCATGGCTCCCAAATTTTGAAATACGATCTGTGTTTACTAAGGTGGCCCACATGTTTGTTTTTTCTTAAAACTCAACCCATATTTGCAGTGAAGTGAGTCCCATTCAGAAAGAAGAGTGGGATTTCTGTCAAAGCAGAAGAAAAACACCTGCCATTAATCCCAAGAGCACAAGTGGGGTCTGGAGTGTCCGAAGCAGCCACCACAGCTGTGAATGGAGGTTGACCTCTGCTTCGGTTCTGTCTTGAGCTGGCAGGTGCCAGGACGCCATTCTGTCTGCTCAGAAACACCCCTTTTGCAGCGTGTGAGTGCAAATTGTTAGTGCAAGTTTTCAAGCTGTCTAAAGAGCTCCAGTTGATACGTATTACTTGGGTAATTGCGACTTAGTAATTGGATTTTGGGAGAAAGACTCATCTCCATTCCCCACTGTAAAATTATTTCAGAAAGGCTTTGCTCTCCAACCTAACAGAGTGAATTTAGGGGACTGGAACAGTGAGAAGCTTGGCCTCTGAGGTTTCACCAGTAAAAGCAAATAGAACTTTAAAGAGGAGAAGCTTTGGTGAAGGAAAGGGTGAGAGCTGGGGAGGGGTTCACAGTAACTGTAAGTGACCGTACAGTAGCTGGATTTTCTACAGGGTAGTTTTTCTTCATGCTAATATCTAATGTTACCACTAGACTATTTACCTTTTTTAGAGAAGACTATTTAGCTTTTCTAATCAGTTTTTCCCATCAGATTCTCTGTCAGTACTAAGAACAGTGCCAAACTTTCATACATATCCAACAAATGTATATGAAAACCAAAGTAGAGTTAAATAACATGCTGCTTAAATCAAGACTGGAGTCTCCATTATATTTCTTAAACTTGATGGCAGGTATCCTCTCATTTTTCTTCTTTGGGCAGCCTTTGGTCCCAACAAAAATGAAATTCTATTTGTGGAGTATTAGTGAACATTTTGTTTGTGTTTAATATGACCAAATAAATTCCTTAAAGTTAACTGTACAGAGGTAGGCACACAGACTGTACTTAATACTCACTACTTGATTCACTGAAAACATTAATAAAAACATTAAAAATTACTGAAAACATTAAAAAATAAGTTTCCTTTTTTAATAGCAAGATTATTTGCTGGGTAAGAGATGAAAGGGTTTTGTCTAGGTGATTCCATTATCTTAGCCCCCTTTTCCTCTTCCTGATACTCTATAATTCCTCTTTCTCTCATTTGAACTTGAGAACTTGAGGTCAATGTCCCTGACCCTGTGGGAAATGCAGTTGGGAGGCATTTCAGAAAACACCTGTTGAAGGCACATGGTTATCATTCTTTCTGAGAATCTAGTGCTAGAGCTGTGTCCCAACACTTAGCTTTCCAATCACTGCATTTAAAGTCCCACAGACTACACTAAACTCACAAGAGACCGACCTTTGATAATGTTTTATAAATTTTTTTATAAAAAAATTATTTTAGGCATCTATAAAAGTATTAGTATAATACTTTCCTCTTTGGATTGGGAAAAGGTTAAATGTTATAACAGATTCTTTGTTGATAGTAAAATACACAAAATATAAAACATGATGCTATTGATATTATTAATTTCATGATAACCTCACAACTATTAGTAGAAGTGGCACAACTGAGAAGGGGAATTGGGTACAGTTCCTCTGTCACTAACAGAAGACATATTTTAGTAGGTGGAGAATTCCCACTTCCCCATCTGAAGTGACAGCAATCTCCCCTGGGAACTAAGGAGGGGACTTTGCTAGAACCTTGGCTTTACTTGCCATCTAGATTTCTTATCTCCCACACCTACTGAAGGTGAGAGATTGTAGGTAACTCTGAAATGCACTAATTCCTCAGGTAGGCTGAACTCTGAAATGTGACTTTATTTTTAAGAGCTAGGGGGGAAAAGGTATTGATGCTTCTAGAATATTTCCTGCTAGTATTTTTGTTTAAAGGTAAAGAAAATCTCAGTGTCTCAAGAATAGACAGCTGTCCAACAAAACAAATTCCTTAAAAGGTCCACATATATATGGTCTTCTAATTTAGGCCAAAGGTAACACTGTCCTACAATGTGGAAAAGATTTATTTTCAATAAATTGTGTTAGGTTAATTTGATATCCACATTGGGGGGGGGGGGATTATTTTGACTTTGACCTCAAATCATGCACTAAATCAGTTCTCTATGAATTCAGATCTAAAGATGAAAGATAAAGTAATAAAGCTTTTAGCTTTTACAATAAACATAGAAGAACCTCTTTATGATCTTGGAGTAGGCAAAGATTTCGTAAGTGGAACACAAAAAGATAACTATAAATAGAAAAAGTGTTAAGTTGAGTTTTATTAAAAACTAGAGGTCCAGTGCACGAATTTGTGCACAGGTGGGGTCCAGCTGGCCTGGCCCCAATTGGGGCGGATCAGGACCAGGCTGGCTGGGAGGAGGGGCTGTGAGTGATTGGCCAACAGGCCCCGCCCCTGATTGGAGTGGGGAGGCTGATTGGAGGTCAGCGGCCAGGGGAGGGTGATCAGGGGCAGGGCTGGCTAGGGGAGGGGCTGTGGGCTGATTGAGGGTGGGACCAGCTGGGGGAGGGGCTGCAGAAGGTTGGCCTGCTGGCCCCACCCCTTGATTGGCCAGTTCGCTGGCTGCAGTGAGCGTCATAGCAACCAGTCGTTCTGGTCGTTACAGCGTTCCAGTCGCTGGCTTTATATATATATATGTCTGTTCATCAAAAACACCTTTAAGAGAATAAAAACACAATGTACAGAGTGGGAGAATATATTTGCGCTCGCTCTCTCTCTTTCTCTGCATATATATGTATGTGTTTGTGTGTGTGTATAATATATAGCATTGCAGTATAATATATAAAGAACTCTAACAAATCAATAGGATAACTCAATAGAAAAAGGACAAAAGATGTGAACACTTTCTAGAAGAGGATGCATAATGACTAATACCTACATTAAGACAAATTCAACGTAATTAACCACTGAAGAAATACAAATTAAAGTGCAATGTGAAACCACTACACCTCATCTCTAACATGAAAAAGTGGGAAAATACCAAGGATTGGTGATGATATAGGGGAACTGAAGTTCTCATGCATTGCTGATGGGAGTTTAAATTGTTAGAACCACATTGGAAAGCTATTTGGCAGTGCCTGCTAAAACTGAACATATGTATTTTCTATAACTTAATAATTCCACTCCTAGATATATATACCCAAAAGAAATATATATGAATATCACTTGCTAAAATGTTACCCCACACAAAGGAAATAAATGCATACACTTTTAACCCAAAGGCATCTACCAGGATGTTTATGGAGGCACTCTTTGTAATCATGAGGACCTGGAAACAAATGGGCATCAACCGTGGGATGAGGAAATAAATTATGGTTTATTCACACAATGAAATATTATAAAGCAGAAAGAAAAATGATCCACAACTACACACAAAATTGTGCATGAATTTCACATAAATTGAGCAAAAGTTAAGTACATAAACTAACCTATCTGTCAGAAGTCAGAAATAGTGGGTTACTGTTGGTGGAGATTAGTGATAAGGAAATGTCACAACAGGTGCTCCTGGGTTTCTTTAGCTGGTTCAGCTTGCATAGGTATGTTCAGCTTGTGAAAATTTGTTCAACATATGATGTACCTGTGACATGTACTTTTCTGTGTGTGTGTGTGTGTGTATGTGTGTGTATACAGGATGGCCCCAAAAATGTTTACACACTTTAACAGCTGATAGCTCAGTTTTGAAAATGAAAAGTATTTTTAATAAACACTGCCTTCATAATTATTCAAAGTGTATGTACGTATTTTGGGGGAGCCACCCTATACATACACCATTATACCATATATATAATTTTCATATCCTAACCATATTATAATTATAGTTTAGATGCCAAAATTCCTTGAAAAACCTCGATGACAGCTATATCTCTGTGTCCTTTGCATGAATCTTGCACCTAACCCTAGCTCATCTTGCAAACTACAATTTTTAAAATTTATTTTTAAACTATGTTTCTTTTTCTCTTTGTTTTCTTAGGGCCCTCCTGGTCCAAAAGGTGATAAGGTAAGAAAATGAATAGCAGAAACAAATTAAGTTAGTGGAAATTCATATTGACATGATCTATGCTATGTTTTCCTTTATCTTTTTTAATGAGCATCAGATATACTTAGTGCTAAAATTATCCTCTCATTTTTCTACTCTGCAGGGAGAACAAGGTGATCAGGGACCTCGGGTAAGTTGTACCCTTCCGATCCTGAGCAGAAAATTAGTTTTCAACTCCAAACTTGTCTTGGCTTCATGACTGCCTTTGTGTCACATAGTTTAGTATCACCTATACTTACAATAATTGATTAACAATAATAATTATTATAATGTGCATACACTGTTGTAGTATTTTAACTTGATAACTGTAAAGAGAACACTCCACAGTAATTAGCCCTACGGATTAAGGGCCATAATTGCTACCCACAGTCAACAACAACATCTTTCCACCGGCTACTGGGTCCTTTATAATTGCATGCAGTGTTTTCAACATAAAGGCCTTGTGGGTTCCTATTGAATTTGGCCTTTTTTTCTGCAGTTAAATTTTATGTGCTGTTGCATAAATATGATATATTATAGATGAAAATATTAATGCATTTTATATGTTTGTTCCTCATCATGTTTGAATAATACTTATTTGAATTTCTTATTTTTTATAGATGTTTAAGCAAATAAAAGGTGCAATGTAATTTAGCATTCCAGGGAGGAGGGGCATCCTTTTCTTTTTCTCAAATGTGGCTCTTTTACCCACTCTAACACAATGGTGAATGCTTTGTTGTTACCTTGGTAGTGCCAAGTCCTCTGCTCCACATCTGTGCCTTATTACCCCAGTGTTCAGACATACTGTTCCAATGATGTAGTGGCTCCGTTCAGACATACCTCTCGATTTTCTCATGTCACTACGCACAAAAGCGAGTATTCGGGTGAAGAGAGTCTTTTTTTTTTACAGTGAAAAAGCACATTTCAAACTTTCAGGTTGAAAACACAATTGTGTAGGGTGTTTTTTGTCACTGTGCATAATTATTGAATCCATGTATACTACAGTTGAGGTTTTATTGCAAACGATGTAGTCAGTGCGAGTCTGAAAAGTTTGTGTCTTATGTCCTCATGTTTATTAAACTAGGTGAAAGTTACGCTATGATTTACGTTCCTTGCTATTCTTCAGCCATTCTTCATACAGAAATGATTATGCCTCAGAACGTTTCGTTTCTCATGGCAGTTATTCTAGCTGATGACTAGCTTCAAGGTAAAAGCTTATTTTATGGTCAAGGAGATTAAACGTTATGATATATGTCATGGATGTGAATGGGATAAAATTCTCATAACCTTAGATGATTAGAGTATAGCCACTTGCTCGGTACGTGGTGATTATTTCACATGGCATGTCTCCATGTATTGAGTATCATTTCTTTCTACACGCAATACCAAAATCACTCAGCTTGCCCTTTGCAGGTAAGAGGGAGACTGTTTCCATTCTGAGAAATCTTCTTTTGGCAAAGGAAGTGAAGGGGTGGTTCACAGCTTAGCTGTCATCAGTATGCAGGCAGCCCTCATTTAAAAAAAAAAAGGTGTGTTGGCTTTCATCGTTTTAAAAAGTGATGATTGATTATAAAGCTAAGCCAAATTTTTTAGGATGAAACCTGAAACCATGTGAAATTCACCTGGTTTCATGTTGCAGTGCAAACTAAGACTTGGACCAGGTTTCTTGGAAGTTTGGCCAAAGTTCATGAACTACTTTGACGAACCCAGACTGCCTTTCGTACAGATTTCAGCCAGTTTTCACACTGACTGGGGCCAAGTTTCACACGATTCAGGAGCCATTCAGCATTTCAGGTGGAAAGTGGCAAAAAATGATCCCATTTTCTCCTCAATTTTGCTTTGTATTGAAAGAATTTAGATTGAATTAATAATGCAGGACAAATCTTCATGGGTAAAAAGCTAAATGCTCTGGGAAGTACATGAAAAAGAGAATGCAGACCTACCAGATTGCCTAACTTTTCTCAGATTCTTAACTTAGAGACACAGCAGGTCACTTTCAGTGCTCTTAGAATTTTATAAATATTTCTTTCTAGTAAGCTAGTATTAGCTACTTATTAGGAAATTTATTTTATCAAGATAATAAAATGAATGTTTTATATTTTTAGGTAAATCAAATTAAGTTAGAACTGGAAAAGTCTTCAATTTAATGATAATTAACTTTACCCACAATTTCTATAGGCACAATGTTCAGGCTGATGCTAATAGAGACTCTCTTTTTTAAAAATATAAATCTTTGTATTTGACTATGCTAACTATTTTTATCCTAGCAAAGATTTGAATTCTACTTTTTACCATTTGTTTCAAGTAATTTATTTCTTTCCATAATTAACTTAACAATAGGATCCTCCATCCTTTCATTATAGGATCTATACTGTTTCCTTGAATATGAAGTTCTTTTATTTTCTCTTTCCCAAGTGTGAAACAGGAATATATTAAGGTATAATATGTGAATCAAAGCAGGAAAAAGGTAATATAAAATTAAGACGGTGAAAGTATCTTGAAACTCTTGGACACATATTTAATAAGATATATTGAGCATCTACCATGTTCAGACACCATGCTTAATACTACAGAGACTATAAATGTGTCAACTTTTCTCTCTTCTGCTGCCTCTGTGGTAGTCTTCCAATTAATCTTGCTTCCACTTTTAAGCCGGTGTAATCCACTTTCTACACAGCAGCCAGAAAGATCATTTTACCTGTAAGTTAGATCATGTTGCTCCCTGTTTTAAACCTTAGAATGAAATCCAAACCACTTTGGTTGGCCTTCATAGGCCTTCAAGATTAGGCCCTTGCCTCCCTCTAAAACCTCACCTATACTAGTCCTCCCTCCACACACTGTGCTCCTGCCCCACTGTCTTCCACGTGACCTTCAAACATACCACACTCACTCCTAACTCGAGGATGATTTTCCACTTGCTCTCCTCTGATCTTTTTGTGATTGGATTCTTCTTATCATTGATACTTCATTTCAAATACCTCTACAGGGAGAACTTCTGTAATTATCCAATCTAAATCTGACATTATCCTATTTGCTTATTTATTTATTTTCTTGTTATCTGTAAAACATGCCTCTCCTTGAAATATAACTCCATCTTGTTCATGACACCCACCATCACCTAAAACAGTGAGGACCTGATAAATATTTGTTGAATGTTAGAATAAAATATTATTACATCATTACTTCTCTTATGGATCTGATAATCTCATGGGTACCTGAATAAGAAAACTATGTGGTTGTATGTTATATATCTTTTTTTTTATAGCAAAGGTGGAGATTTATTGAAGAACAAGTACAAACTCCCATGTGGGGAGAGGGAAAGAGTAACATAGAATGAACGCCCATGTGGGGAGGGAAAACTATGTGGCTGTATGTTATATATCTTAAATAGCTATGCCACAAGATGATAGAAAAGGAACATTCTTCTACTTTAAATATTAATGGAAGACTGTGGGAGAGTTGTCACTGGAGCTAGGGATTCATAAATGGGTAATCTTTAGAGGATAAGATTAAGAGCAAGACATTACACATCCCAGGAAGAAGAAATAGTACAAACAATGCGATACAAGTAGGAAATAACAAGATTCATTTAAAGAACAATAATATTCCATTTACCAAGGAAATAGGTTAAATATAGAAAAATTGTTTTATATAAGGCTGAAATTTTTATAGAAATTATACTATGGAGCAGTTTGAATGTCTAATGTAGTAGGCAGTAGGGAACCATTGAAGATTTTTTATTACATCATTTGATGCATATTACCACCAGACTCTTTGGTGTTATTACCAAATGTTCTTTATGAAAATCTTTTTGTTGATGTAAGAAATATCCAAACCTGTAGAGTTTATTTGAACCAAACTGACAATATACCCAGAAGCAAGTTCTCAAATGCTTCACAGAATGACAGCTTTGCAGTTCCCTTTACACATTTGGAACTAAGGAGGGAACATTAGGAAGATTAGATGAAGGTAAGAGAAAGCAAGGACAGAGAAAGAAATCTCTAGGATTGAATTACAGGACAGTTAATAAGATTATGTGCTTCCTGGAATGTGACTAGGCCTCTGATGGGTCTTTTTAATATGTTTTTATTGATTTCAGAGAGAGGAAGGGAGATAGAAACATCAATGATGAAAGAATCATTGATCAGCTGCCTCCTGCATGCCCCCCACTAGGGATCTAGCCTGCAACCTGGGCATGTTCCCTGACTGGGAATTGAACCATGATCTCCTGGCTCATAATGCTCAACCACTGAGCCAGACCAGCTGGGCTCTTTAAAAAAAAACGTATCTTTATTGTTGAAAGTATTACAGATGTCCTCCCCTCTTCTCCCCCACTGACCCCCTCTATCCTGCTCCTGTCCACCCCCACCCCCACCCCCGGCCAGGCCTTCACCACACTATTATCTGTGTCCATGGGTTATGCATATATGTATGTAAGTTATTTGGTTAATCTCCCCCTGCACACCCCGCCCCCCCGCTCCTCTGAGAAGTATGGAACAGACTGATAAATCTCTGGGGGTCTTTAAAAGACATTTCACAGGTGTGTTAACCTAGATGCATAAGAACAATGGACAGGGCTTGCTTAAAGCAAAGATAAACCTTTTATATGCCTGGGTTGTCCATATCCACTATGATCTGCTCAGTTAGGAATTTATGATCAGATCACGCTGTGGGATTCCTTTTGGTCACTGGACTTGGCACGTTTATCACAGAACCCTATTTTGTCTACGTGGGTGATAGTGTCCAGTACAGAAAGGAACTGGAAGAGACTGAAAGCAGGAAGACCGAGTAGACCAGGACACTATGTCAGTCATCAGGACAAGGTCATAAGAATCTGGGCTGTAAAGATAATGTCCAGTCCTCAGGGGAAGAGGAGCAGAGGGGATGGGCTGGCTCAGTCTGGAACATCAGGTGTCATTGGAAGTAAGGGGCTGTACTGAGCAGAAAGTACAGTGTCTGAATGAGAAGCTGAGCAGTGGGAAAGACTAAATTTGTGAACCAAAGAAGAAATTACAAAGGAGTCACCAAAATGTTGGAGAAAGCGCCATGTTTTCTATGGGAATTAGGATATGAGTTTTTATTTTTCTCACATAATTAGAGGTTCAGAGAAGGCAGTTGGTGTTATTTATATAATTCAATGTTGTTACTATA